AGTTTTTTTTTTTTTTTTTTTTTTTTTTTTTTTTTTTTTTTTTAGCAGTACCAGAGATCATACTCAGGACTTTCTGCTTGTCGCCCCTGCACTAAATCCTCGGTCCAGGATCTTCAATATTTTTAGCTCTTTATATATTCTAGATATTAGTCCTCTGCCAAAGGAGTAGCTGGCAATTTTTTTCCCACTCTGTAGGTTGTGTCTTCACTTTATTGGTCACTTCCTTTGCTGTGCAAATACTTTTTAGTTAATATAATCCCATTTGTTACTTCTTGTGCGGTTAGGGTTCTGTCCAGAAAGTTCTTCCCTATGCCTATGTCTTCCAGAGCTCTATCTATTTTATCTTTCAGCATATTGTTTCTGTTTAATATTGATTTTTTCTTAGTACGTGGTGAAAGAAATGGACCTAGATTCAGTCTTCTGCATGTTTATAGCAGGTTTTCCAGCACCATTTGTTAAAGAGCCTAACTTCCTCCCTCCAGCATATGCTTGACCCCTTTCTCAAAGACCAAATGGCTGAATGTACCTGTGGTTTTGAGTGTATAAGGGCAGATATTGAAGTGATACTTCTACTGCCAAGGAATACCAAAGATCACCAGCAAACCACCAGAAGCTGGGAAAGAATCATGATACAGATTCCTTGCAGCACTTAGAAGGTGCCCACAGACACCTTCATTTCAGATTTCCAGCCTACAGAACTGTGATAAAATAAATATCTGTTGATTATGCCAGTTGGTATACTATGTACTTTGTCATAGGGCAGCCTTGGCATACTCATATAGGTGAACAGGTACTTAAAAACTTATTATTCTCTGCAGTCAAATATAAAAGTTCCCCTGGTGTGGCTGCTTCAGGCATAACTACTCTCCCACTTTCTGGAGGCTTCTGGAAATTGCCAGCTGACTTTTGCTTATCCCTGTGCCCTGCATGGCTCCATTAGCAGCACCACAGCACAGTGGAGAACTCTGTGGCATGCTTGTTCCTACCCATAACATCTATGCATTATGAAGGAGAAAAAGGTGAAATTTCTGCTATAAATACATTTCTAAAGTAGCTTAACATATGACAGCATGAGGCAGTTTTGTAAGTATTAATTATAGCTGCCATTTATTATGTATTCACTACATGCCAGACATTTTATGCATGTCAATATTCTCTCCCCAGTGAACATATAAAATTAGTATTATTATTATTCCCATTCACATGTGAAGAAATCTAGGACTAGGAAGGTTAGCAACTTCGCCAAGGCCACAAACTGTGCCTATGCATGTCCGTTACACAACCTGACCAACTCGTGCAAATTAGACAAATGCTACAGATACCCGTGCTTGTGGAAGACCCCCCCAGGCCAGGCTTAGAGTAGGCTGCAGTATGGAGCAGCCACCCCCCCCCATAATTGGCTACAACATATTCAGAGCCAGACCAACACCTGCGTGACTCACAGGAGGATGTCGAATGCGATAACATACCCACCCCCTGCTGCTATGACAGAGACCTAAATCCTGGTCTGTGAAGTTGCCAGGCTCCTGAGTGAGAGAACATTGTGGCTGAGGACTGTGTGGCTCCAAACTACTTTCCATTCCTAGAGCTACCCCTCCCTTAATTGTTTTAGTGCTTACTAGTTAACCACAACCCACCTTTGATCTCTTCCGCTCTTTTCACAAGAATGCCTTATCCCCCTTTTACAAGCCCTGCCTGTGTCAGCTGATATCACTGGATGCCACACATATCCCCCTGCCCTGTTTTACTCACGCTTGTATAATCAATAAATACCAGCAGTCCTAGTTGCTTGGGGTCCTCACCACATGCTCGGCATGGTTCATCCCAGTTCCCCATTTTGCTGTGAATTTTTATGTCTTATCACCTTGCAGAAGATCAAGACTCTTGGCCAGGGTCCTCAATATGTGCTGTAGAAAAAGAGGAGGAATCAGGAGAGACCACGCCATCTGGGAAGGCTTCATGAGGGAAATGGCTCCATATAGGTCCTGTTTGATAGACTGTACAGTAAGTCCCTGACTTACAGACACTTGAATTGCGAAATTTCACAGGGTTCATATAAGACTCACTTCGTTGGATTTACGAACGAATCTGATTTACAAACATTATCTTGGAATGGAACTGAGTCATACACCAGGGACTTACTGTATCTGGATAAGAGAAAAGGTGCAAAACTCACTTTACATCTCCCAGTCTTTGCCTTTATTGGTCTCTCTGCCTGGAATACACCCTTCTTCTGACTCTTCACAAGACATGCTCACTTTCATCCCTTAGGGCTCAGCCCAAGTTTCAGCTTTTTAGAAAAGGCTTCACTACATGGTGATACACACCTGTAATCTCAGCTCTGGAAGGTTGATCTAGGAGAATCAGAAGTGCCTGGGCAACTTAGTGACTTAGTGAGACCCTGTCTCAAATTTTTTAAAAAAGGGGGGCTGGGGCTGTAGCTCTGTGTGAAGGCTCTCAGTTCAATGCCCAGTAATACACAACTGTAATATAAAAAGTGCAATCACCTAGGGACCACCAGGCTGTAAAAAGCCCATGCCACATGCACCAGACTTGAGCATGAGGAAGTCATCTCAGGGAAGTGAGATGTGCCCAAAAACCAAGATGGTAGAATGTGAAGTTTAGAATCTTGGTGGTAGGCAGTATTTGTTGTACAATTCTTTTGACATTTACAAAAAAGAAAAATATGACATTTTTCATTATGAAATTTTGTGACAGTTTCATCTTGGAAGTGGATTCTTCAGTGCTAGACACCTCAGCAGGCACCAGATAGAGCAGAGATGGAGCCCCAGCCTGATCTTTCTCAAACTCCTGACCCACAAAACCATGAGGGACATAAATGTGTGCTTTAAGCCTGTAAATCTGGGAGGCTAGATAGCAGAAACCCTCTCTCTAAGTAAATCTCCCTTAGTTTACAGGCTCCTGCCTATGTCTTTTTTCTTTATTTCTTTTTTGTTCCTACATTAAGAATTAAAACCAGGGCAATATGCATGCTAGGCAGCACTCTACCACTGAGCTACATCCCTAGCCTTCTGCTCTTGTCTTGTCTTTTTTTTTTTTTTGTATAAGTGATCAAACTCGGGACCTTGCAGTGCCACTGAGCTAAATCCCTAGCCTTTGCTCGTGTTTTTTATAGCAGTTCTCACAATTTGGAATTTTCCTGTTTGCTTAGTGTGTGTGTGTGTGTGTGTGTGTGTGTTGATGGTGGTACTGGGGATCGAACCCAGGGATTGAGCTACATCCCACACTGGTTGATTGATTGATTGGTGTTTTTATTTTCTTTATTATGAGGATCTGTCTCACTAAATCACCAAGTTGCAAGACTGGGCTTGAACCAACTTTCAGGGTTCCCATTGGCTCCTTTGCACCTTAGGCTCAGCTCTGGCTGAAATCAAGAACTCTTTGGGCCTCCTGGGGCCTCAGAGCAGATCATCAACTTTGCTTGTTCAAAGGCACAGGCAGGGCTCACCCTCCCCACCCACTGTGGCCGAGTCCAGAACTTCCTCTCCTTGAAGTGCCTCAGTCACCAAAGCAGCACAAACTCCATGCACGCCCAACATCTGCTTGGTATTAATTACCTCCACATTTATTAAGTGTCCCATTAAACTTGGCTCTGACAGCACAGTTGGCTCCCTGGGTTAAATCCACGCTAAATATTCAATTATACAAATTATACACAGTGCAAGCAGAATCATATTTGGCAGAGATTAGCTCACTTGCTCTGCGAAGGCACTTTTCCAGCTGAATAACAATGGTGTCTTTTAATTGTATAGTGTTTTCCTCTTGAGGGACTTTAGGCTGGACCATCTCCCAGAGGGAGACAGAAACTGGATGTCCTCATCTCCATTTTGTAGTTGGATGAACTCATTAAAGAATGCTTACCCTAACCACACATCCTGGAATCTTACTCTTCCTGCAGGGCCCAACTTAAATTGCCTCCACCTTAAAGCTTTCTGGGTTCCCCCACCAGAATTTCCAGGCAGCCCTTGACCCTGAGAGGAGCTCGGGCCTAAGAAGAACATCTGAGCCCTCACTGCACACAGAGTCTGTGATGGATATGTGACCTGCACTCAGTCACTCCATTCTCCCAGCAAACCTGAAGGGTATTCCTATTTCACATGTAAAGAGACTGAGACAGAGGGGCCAAGTGATGGGTTTAGGGTTAGTTGTATACCAATAAATGCTGCATCCAGGACTAAAACCAGCTTGCCAACTCCACTGTCTTTCCCACAACAATCCTGGTTCATTCATTCATTCAAGTTATTCACTGAGTACCTATTACACACCCAGGACTTATTAGGAGAATAGTACTGCTAGGTATGCAGGAGTGAAGAAAACATGGTCTGTGCTCTAACAAGAAATTGTCATCTATCAAAGAAGACAGGCTTAAAATACTTCCACAGAGATTAATTAAAAATCAAGCATTGGGTAATATTAGTAAAATTTAACTGAACTAGATAAGGCAAGAGTAAGAAAAGCAAAAAAATCAGATCTCTGGATGGCCCTTTATTGTAATTCAGGAGTCAGTAATTCTTTCTTTTGTCTTATATTTTGCAGCTAAGTAACACCTGAGGATGCCAACATTTCTTTTGGGACCATCCTCATGTCACTTCCATCACTGAATAACAGTTTTTCCAGCTGTAAAATGGAGATGAAAATAGCAAAAGACTATAAGTAACCCATATATCTACCAACAGGAGCCTGCTTGAATGAATGATGATTCCATTTACACCACCGAGTATGCAGTTATTACAAAGTAGGGGGCAGGTACCGCAACACACACCTGTAATCCTAGATACTTGGGAGGCTGAGGCAGGAGGATTATGAGTACAAGACCAGCTCAGGCAAATTAGCAAGACCGTATCTCAAAAAACAATAACGAGAAAAGCACAGGGCAACTTTAAATACTGGAGAAGGATTCCTAAGACATCTCGTGTGAAAGGAGCAGGGTGCAGAGAGATGAGTGTGGAATGCTACCATGAAGGGGAAAAGGGGTAAAGAAGCACCCTTACATGTGCATGGGGTATCTGAACAAGGGTGCATAAGGAACAGGTGAGGGATCACTCCCGGGAGGGGACCTGCTTATAAGGAGACTTTTTTTTTTTTTTTTTTTTTTTTTTTTTTTTTTTTTTTTTTTGGTAAAGGGATCAAACTCGGGTCCTAGTGCTTGCAAGGCAGGCCAAAGGAGACTTACTCTTAACATGTGCCATTTTGTTCCTGTTGACTCTTGCATTCTGTATAGGTACTTTCCCAAAAGGCACATCAATAAATCCAAGGAAAAATTTAATACACCATTTCAATAAGGTAACAATGGAGTAAAATAGCCCTGTGCAAATCAGCCTATCTCCAGGTGTTGCAGTTATTTTCAAAGGTAAGGTCGGATGAAACCGCCTCTTGAAGAATCTCAAACGAATAGAACACATGTTGCTCACAATGAGATGAGAGAGGAATAAGGGGCTGAACAGAGAAAAAGACAAAGGAGGAGGCAACGATGAGAGAAACAAAGAGGCCACGCATAGTTATAATGACCCACAGAGTGAAATTCCACAATCACTTTAGTGCCACTGAGACCCCCAAGGCAGTGGTGCTGCTACCTGCTTCTTTCTAGCTGGCTGCCAAGTTACCATGGTAATGTAATAGTCTGTGACAAATTTATCTTTGATTCTGAAAATATTTTAGAAAAAAACAAACAGTCATAAGCTGCAGATGGGCAACAACGAGCAGAGGTGCCTGTTTGAGAAGAGGCATGAGGTTGACTTCCTGGGCTTGATATTTTCCCTTAAGAACAGGGGCAGTGGGCTGAGAGCAGAACATTAGGAGTCTGAGTGAGTGCTGTCCAAAGTTTCAGGAGTCTAGTTTGATAAAGAATGCTGCACCTTCTTCCCAGTACTTGCTTCAGTAGGTCTGAGGAGGGACATTTCTCCTGAGTCCCGAGGAGGTATGGTTGCTGCTGGTTGGAGTCCACATTTGGAAAACCTCCGCTTTACATGATGTCTGCAGAGCTCTCCAACTCAGGAAGCTGTGAGCTGATGCCCTGGGCATATCTACCCTTCCATTGGCCTCTTCCAGCAACCAGCAGCAAATGAGTGCCAACAGAAGGGCCCCACATGGTAGTCAGGGAGGCAGAGCACATGATGGACGAAGGGCTCTGAGAGTGGAGGTGAGCTCTTCATATAAGCAAGTGCATCGGAAGATTGGTCCATGTTCCAGTTGCCTCTGCCAGAGCTCTCTCATGGGGCCAATTAACCGGGTGTGATGGCCAATAGGATCCACTGGGCCAGAGGAAAGGCAGCTGCCTATCAAGAATGTGGCTGAGCAAGAGCTGACTGGAGAGGATGTGAAAACGACAGAAGCCAAATCTTCAGGCACCATAAATGACCTCAGTGAGATCCCGATTCTCCACAGAAATAGGCAGGCAGCCAAGACAGAACACCCCATGCAACACACAGAGCAGCTGAGTAAGAATGTAGATAGCTGGGAGAAAGCGCAATATTAATGACAAGATCTCCTAATGCAGGATTTCTTGTGCATTCAACACATGTTTATAGAGTACCACCATGTGCCAGGTGCTACGGTGGAGAAGCTCAATTGGGGGTCATGTGCAAGATCTGACCCGGCATTTATGGCGCTTGCTTTTAGGTAAAAGCAGACAGCTGTTATTCAAAGAGTCATGCGACTTAATTGTGCTGGAGTATAGAAGTAAATAATCTTTTATAATTATATATATAATATATATATATACACGTATATATGATGCTTAAATATTTAGAGGTAAAGGGGAAAGATGTGTGAAAATTATTTTAAGTGGTTCAGAGAAAAAATATACATATTATCTATATATGTATAATCTATAGCGAGACAGTAACAAAATGTCAGCAATTGGAGAATCCAAACAAATAGCATATGGGAGTTCTTTGTATTATTCTTGTAACTTTTCTGAGAGCTTGAAGCTATTACAAGTAGAAATTATATAAGAACCACAGAAATACACAGCGAGCACTATTTTTTAAAAGTGTGCAGTGGTGCAAGGACCTAAATTGGACTGGTTTGTACAAAATGGGGAGGTCAAAGAGGGCTTCCTGGAGGTGGCATTTTTGTGCTGAAGTTTTAGCAGATATGACAGGTGTTGGTGAATTACAGAAAAGGACTCAGCTGGTGGAAAGTGTGTGGTGGGAGATAAGAGAGCACAATGGAGGAACAGAAGAAAAATCTCAGCAGCTGGGCCAGAGAAGCACCCTGTCCTCTCCTTCATGTATAATGGCAGAACCAGTCAGAGGCGGGGCTTCTGGAAAGCCCATTCTAGTCCAGGATGGTGCCTCTTTGTTTCATTTCTCTTCTATTCTACTCTGGCTCCCCTCCAACCTCAGTTTTATTTTTAAATTTTTTTATTTTTTTGCTATTGCAAGTACTAGGGACTGAATTCAGGGCTTTCAAAATAAGTAATACGCCCAATCCTTTAAGTTTTTTGGAGTTTTGTTTGTTTGTTGTTTTGGGGGGTTAGGATCTTGTCTTGCTTAATCACAGATTTCCCAGGCTAGGTTTGGGTTTTTTTGTTTGTGTTTGTTTTGTTTTTTAGAGACAGGGTCTTACTATGTAGTTGAGACTGACCTGGAACTCACTATGTAGCCCAGGCTGCTCTCCAACCCACAGCGATCCTCCGGCCTCATCCTCCTGAGTGCTGGAATTTCAGGCATGCGCCACCACGCCCCGGCTCCCAGGCTAGGCCTGAGCTTGCAGTCCTCCTGCCTCGCCCTCCCCAAATGCAGGGATTTCAGATGTGCACCACTGCACCTGGCTCCAGCCTCAGTTCTTAAGGCTCCACTCAAATGCAGCTCCCAGGAGCCCAGCAACATTTGCAATTTGATCTATGGGCTTATCGCAGCCCCTTCTCTTTAACTCCATCTCAGCCCCAAGTCCCTGTGTAAGACTTGGATAAACTAAAGTGACTCCATGTTAATAGGCCAGACAGTGCTTCTTCATATGCTAATTGCTAACTTGGCTAACAGCCCACCCAGGGGCAAATGGTATGACAAAAGGTGACTCTAGAACATTTCCTGCATAAGATAAACAATGTGTCTGGAGTCTTGTTCTGTGAATTCCCTGACTCTTTGTTTAGTAAAACCTTATAAAAAGTACCTCAGACCCTGAGCAGTAGCCTCTCTGAGCTACCTGGCTCCGTGAGTGCCGTCTGGCCAGACTAATAAAGGTCCATTTACCATCGAGCCTGGTGTGTTCCCTCCTGGGTTTCTCGTTTCTCCATCTAGCTCCCAGAGCCTCGCTGGGTGTTAGGCCCAGCATCGTGGAGGCCTTTTTGGCTGTTCACGGCTTTCAGAAGTAAGGCCCTGGGTCTTGCCTCCGGAGCCATCGTTGGGGTACAGGACCCAACATCGTGGAGGCCCTTTCGGCTGCTCACACTCCATGGAGTGGAAGTGAGACTTTAAGTCTTACACCATCAATTCCTCTACCTGCCAAAGAAGAAAAAAAAAAAAAAAAAAGAAAAAGTTGAGCTGTCATTTCAACTTATTTGTACAATTTGCTTCCCGAGCCTCGGGCAACCAAGTCCAACCTTGGGTCGTTCTGCACAGCTCCGTGTGCTCTCCCCTCCACAGCCGATGTCCCAAAGAGCTGGGAGTCTGCCAAATACATCTCTGAGTGATTGTGAAGTACAGACCTACATAATAAACACACCGCATCTCCATGATACCCTTGGTTTAGATTATCTAAGCATTCTGCAGATGCAGTGTAGCATGGAGTAAATCCCAATAATGCTTTCTAGATCCCAGGAGAGAAACACCTTTTTTGATACTGGGGGTTGAACCAAAAGGCCTTTGCACTGAGCTATGTAGCCAGTTCTGTTTTATTATTTGTTTTAAGGTGTGGTCTTGCTAATTGCCCAGGCTGGCCTCAAACTTGCAATCCTCCTGCCTCTGCCTCCCAGAGAGCTGGGATGTTTCCTTTTATTAATTAGGCAATTTTTCACATCAGAGAACTCAGTTTAAAAGAACTATGAAGTCTTGTGGCCTAACATCTTCATTTTACAGAATTAACTCGCCCACAGTCACAGAGCAAGTTCATAAGGGAATTGGGCTTAGAAATAAGGTTTCCTGGAGGCCAGTAGACAGATTCATGCTGACCAGTTAAACAAATGTACAGGACCTCCCAGGAAACTAACATGTTCTGATCAGTGTCCGTGTCGTTAACAGTCTTTATCTATAAAGTGAGCAATTTAGAAAGCCTTAGTGAAAAGTGAATCCCCAGAATCTGTCTTCTTGCATTTAGCAACTCTATATTGTGTCATTTTTATCTGTTTGGTTTTACTTTAGACCTGGTTCTGATTTTACATTTATGACTAAAGACCGGAGGGTGAGGAAAGGGGAGGTCAGAAAGGAAAATCTTTACTTTTGCATTCTGCAAACCTTTCCACACTTTTCCCCCTCTTTGTAACATTTCCTTTCGAGAGCCCCACAAGCTTCTCAAATCTGCATTTCCAATCCCCTGTTCACCTTGGCTGTAATTATCCTGGGGAAATTTAAATTCCTTATCATGATTTGTGACAATACCAGCTCAAGCTAAGCAAGCCTCACTTCCATTCTGAGATCTGTCAAATTCGAATTGCCCTCAGTAGTTTCCCTTAATAGGAATTATTGTTAGAATTTTTTAAGGGGCAGTAATGAGATTGTGGCTATGTTAAAGAAAAAACCCTCGGGCTGGGGATTTAGCTCAGTGGATCAGCTGCCTGCTTTGCAAACGCAAGTTCCTGACTTTGATTTCCGGTACCCCAAAAAGAAAAGAAAAACCCCTTATCTTTTTTGAAATATTCATGGATGAAATGATATGAAGTCTGGGATTTTCTTCAAAATATTCTAAGAGAGATCATAAAGAACACGCTCAGTGGGTGTGGTGGCGCACGCCTGTAATCCCAGCACTCAGGAAGCTGAGGCAGAAGGATCACTGTGAGTTTGAGACCAGCCTGGGCTACATAGTGAGTTCCAGGTCAGTCTCAATTATATAGTGAGACCCTGTCTCAAAAAAAAAAAAAAAAAAAAAGAACATGCTCTCTAATGGAATATGTTAGTCTCCACTGCCTTTAGACTTTTTTTTTTCTTCAGTGCTGGAGATCAAACCCAGAGCCTCATGCAAGCAGATAAGTGCTCAGCCACTGAGCTGTGACTCTAGCCCACTTGCAAGTTCTCTTTTCAGCCTCTTCCTCACCTCCATCTTCCCTCTACCCTGTCTCTGAATCTGTTTGCTTTGTGCCTGTGGACAGGATTCTGATCCTGGAAACTCAGCAGAGAAGTGAAAATGGTCACTGGAACCAGGAAGCCTAGGTGCAAAATCCACCTCCCCACTGGTGAGCGCAGGGTCTGTGGACAAGCCACTGATTCATCTGAGGCCATTTCTCCATCTGCAAAACTAAGAAGACAAACTGACAGCAGCTAACAGCTACTTTTCTAATGGGTTCTTCTTGTCTTGTTTTTCTAACTCTGCTGCCATCTGATTGAAGGTGCAAATAACCATTCTAAGGTCCCCATTCCCCAAGACCCCTTAGCTCTTCAAGGGCTCAGCCCGCTGTCCAAGCTCCAGGCCAGATGCCTGGAGGTGCCAACTCCTAAGAACTCAACATATGCAAAGCAGAGCTATGGTTCCTTCTCTCAGCAAGCCCCTCCAGGTATCCCGATCATCCACATAGCCCCTATCTGGGTTGTAACGTCCCCTTCTTTCACCTCCCTCTTGAGCTACTTCAGGCAGAGTTCCCATCTTCCAGAGCTTGCCTGGAGGTGCTCCCTGCCGCCTCCCTGGCTCAGGCCCTGGGGACTACTGGCCTAGCCAGCTGTAAAAGCTTCCCAGCTGGGCTCCCTCCTTCTACCTCTGCTCTCCATTCCTCCCTTCAGGCTGCTGGCAACACTCTCCAACCAGAATAACCCTTCCTGACCTTGCAAGCCTCCTGTGGCTTCTCTCCACTGAGAGCAGAAACAGGCCAAATACCTTCCTGTGGCATTTGACACCCTGCACAGCTTGCCCTTAGTGCGTTGCTGCGGAATCATCCGCATTTCCTGCTCATGAAGCCACAGGCCTGGGGTTCTCAGTCTGTGGTCCCTCACACCTGTGTTGGAATCACTTGGGCACTTGACTGAAACTCCAGCGTCCTGGAGCCTACTAGAGATGCCCGAACTTGGGGTCCAGCTTTGAGGCAAGTGAAGAACTGAGGACCCCATCCACACTGAGTGCTTCTCCAGGACCCCAGGTGACTGCCAATTCTCTGCAAAGCCTTTTCTGTTGGCTGGCAGAGCAACCCCCACAACTCTGTTCCTGCAGCACCTTGGGTGCACCTCTATTAAAGACCCTGCATACCAATGGTGTGTAATTATTTGCTTGCCTGTGACCTGCCTGCCTAGCTAGAAAGAAATCTCCACCAAAGCAAGCTGACAGAATGCCTGCAGCCCCTAACACAGTGAATAGTACATAGCGAGCACTTGATAGATATTAGTCCCTTTGGTTGTCTTACTCTCTCATGGCTTCTGAATGCCAAACACAGTGCTTTGCACCAGCAGGTATTATTACATAGATGTCTGACGGACAGATTATCAAAGGATGGTTAAAAGCGTGAATGAATGATGAAATGTGCTAATAAATTAATAATGACTTTTCATCATGCATTCATATTCTGGAATGTTTGTGCATACCTGGGGCCATCTCCAAACTGAAGGACTTGTAAATGGAGTCCAAGGTCAGATGGGAGCTTGGGACACTTTGCTGCAGGTTTACAGGTGAAATCACCACACTGAAGTTCTAATGTTAATTTTTAAATTGTCACTCTCAAGCTAGGTGTGATGGTGCACACCTGTAATTCCAGCACGCTGGGAGACTGAGGCAGGAGGATCAGAAGTTCAAGCTCTAGGCTGGGGATGTATCTCAGTGGTGCCTAGCAAGCACAAGGTCCTGAGCTGGATCTCTGGTTCTGAAAAAAAAAAAAAAGAAGAAGAAAGAGGAGGAGGAGGAGTAGTTCAAGCTCTGCTTGGGCAACTTTGTGAAACTCTGTCTCAAAATAAAAAATGTAAAAGCCAGGGGATATAGCTCAGTGTGAAGGTCCTGGGTTCAATCCCCAACACCAGACAAAACAAACAAAAAGTATTACCCTGAAGAGTGCATGTGAAAAGCGCAGTGCCATCTTCCATCATAGCCACCCTGCCATTGTCCAGGAAGTCCTTACCTGTCACAGTTACCCTTCCACCTTGCAGGACCCACAGAAGCCCTGCTACGGCTGCATGATGGGAAATCTGCTATTTGTTGTAGGGAGGACAGAAGTCAGCCTTAGGATGCTGAGGCTGGGGCAGCAGCACTTCAAGGCTGGAGAGTTTGACACCCATTCCAACCTTGGCTTCCCCACTACCGTGTGAGGCTGGACAAAGCACACAACATCTCCAGGATTCAGCTCCTTCCATTGAACGCTTTGTGTTCTGACCTCTATGGGAGCTGAATGAGATCATGTATGTTATATGACCAACAGCACATGGATGTTACTGCTATGCTGCTGTAATTCAGGACTACTGGGTTCCTGTAAGTAACCGGGTCCTGGTGACTGGGCTGACTCGGGATGATAGGAGTAGAGCAGGGAGCCAAGCCTCAGTTATAAATTCAGGATTTGGGATTTAGAGGAGAGAACAGAAGCAGCCACAGGGAGCCAGCAGCTGGGTGTGGCTGGGCCAGGGACCAAACTCCATTCTGCTCTTCAGCTAGGGGTTCAGGGATTCTTTCTCATGGTGGGGGGAAATGGGGAGGCTGCGAGCCTGGGGCCCCACAGTTTGGCTTCCTGTCTAGGGGAGGACTCTCTGGCCCTAAGTCTGGAGCCCAGGTTTACTGCACTCGGGTTACGGGGGTTCCCTTAATGCTGTGCCCACAGCAGGGAAGTGAGGACCTAACCCAACACTGACATTTCATTCTCATTTCAGATGGGAAACTGGAAACCAGAGCCCCAGACAGGCCTTGGTTACAGAAAAACAATGAGAACTTCCTATGGCTGTGTCGGCAGGTCTGGTTGTCACCAAGATCCTCTAATTCAGAGACTCCCAACAGACACTTCCTCATTTCTGGAGCACCTTCCTGTGCCATGAGCCAGGCCAGGTTGAGGAGCTTTCTCCTTTGTGCTTTGTCCTGTGGATCCTGAGGCAAGGGCTGGGCTGGGGATCACACAGCCTCCCCTACCTGGAAACATAGCTGAGAACCCGAGGCAGGAACTGGAAAGAGGAAGATGGGGTCTTGAGGAGGAAAGAGTGGTATGACAGACCCGCCTGGACTCCTTAGCGCTCTCAGGACTTCACCGCAAACAAAGGGGAACTCTGTTATCGGGAGCAAAACCTGAACCACCAACGCCTGGAGAACAGCGACATCTCCCGGCTGCCTGCAGCCAGGATGCTCATCCCTGGCCAGAGCCGAGGGGCCATTCTAAAACCATCTGGGACGCCTGACACCTTTAGTATCCCGTAATAAAGCAGTTTCAGCATCTGATGCCACTGATCTCAAGTGGAGCCTGAGACTCTATACTTTTAACAAGCCCCAGTGTTACTGATGCTGCTGGTATATGGATCACACTGATTAGAACACTTTAGGGGAGGGTCCCGATTTAGCTCAGTGGTTCCAGTGCCTGCCTCCTAAGCACAAGGCCCTGAGTTTGATCCTCATAACCAAAAACAAACAAACAAACAAAAGAACACTTTAGGGGACCAAAGATGAATCAGACTTTTGTTCCAAGCATCCAGAGGACCCCAGGGACAGAGACAATTGTCCACATGTAAAATCACTGTTTAATTGAGCAGATGGACTTCAAAGGTGTTGGTTTGTTTCATTTTTTATGGTTCTGGGGACTGAGCCCAGAACCTCATGTATGCTAGACAAGCATTCTAACACTGAGCTGTGCACCTAACCCTTTAACAATTTTTATTTTGAGATAAATTTTATGGTATTTTAAATTGTCCAGGCTGGCCTTGAACTTTCAATCCCCGCCTCAGCCTCACAAGTAGCTATGATTATTAGCATGCACCCCCATGTCTGAAGGGGAAGTTTCCTGAAGGATCCACGGGGGCAGCCTCCCTATGGCAGCGTGCTTGGTACCTGCATCACGTCTGCCCACCCAAAAAGCAACCTGGTGAACATCCGTAATTAACCTGGGGAAACTGTTACTCATCAGTGTAGCATTTCCAAGCTCCCAAATTACTTCACTGACTCCCTAAATACAGCCTACTTCACCTCACAAAAGAATTCTTCTAATGGCCTCCTCAAACAGACTTTTCCTTAAAGAGGTGCGCTTTTGAACTGCCAACTTCAGATCCTTCCACTCTGTAGGTCCAAGTAGAACAAGAGAACCGACCAGCCCAGCCTCATTTTACAAAACAGGAAACTGAGGTCCAGGAAACTTGGGTGACTGCCTGAGGCCACCAAGCAAGATCACACCACCGAACCCTGGTTGCCTCACTCTGAGAGCACACTTGAGCACCCATGTAGCACCTACTGCTGACGACTCCAAAAACGTGGGCCCAGGAGCGCAGGGGGAGGGTCACATCTGGGGTCTGGGCCTTCCCCTCCCCCTCCCCGCACAGTGGCCTTGGGCTGGGAAGGCTCCCACAATCCAGGGAGGGTGGTGAAAGCAGCTTTTACAAAGCAGGGTCTGAGCCTCGAAGACAGGCCCCTTTGTCACTTGCTCCCCACCCCAAGCCTGCAGCCTTCAGTGCCCCCAGTTTGAATGGCTGGCTCGCACACACTGGAAATTTGCAACACAAATACGGGGTTTGTCTCTCCCCTCTCGGAGGCAGCGCTAAGTCTCTGTCCCAGCCTTTTAGAACCTTTTAAAGCCTTCCTTTCTGTGGGCATTTTCTTTCCTCAGTTCAAGCTCCCAGCCCCTAGACACAGACACGGTCGCTAATTAACACTGGGTTTAAACACGTCCTGAGAAAGAGCCCAGCAGCAGCAGGCGAGCAAGGGGTTCTCTCACCACCTCCCAGAGGACACAGCTGGGCCAGGCAGCTGGTGGGAATCAGTGGGGGAGCTGGGCTCTTATTCTCAGGCCTCCTTCTGGTTCCCCCTCCCCATCCTGTTTCTTGGTGGGCTCGAGAACTCACTGCAAATAAGCTTGTCATCAAGATGGCCCTCACCTCTCCCCTGCCAAGCTGCCTTGGCTTTCGGAGCTCAGCTTTGGTCAGAAACTGTAATAACAGCTACCACTTGCCAAGACAGTAGGTACCAGATGCGAGCATGCTTCCGATTCTCACAGCTCATTCTTTCTCATCTCCATTATGTGAGTGTGGGAACCAAGGCTCAGAGAGAGCAGGGCCTTGTCTGCAGTCACGCAGCTTGCAAGTGGCAGAGCTGGGTTTCACCTCTAAATCCTTGTACCGCATAAACTGATATACATGTTTCAGGCTTCTCTCCCAGTTCCTGTCTGATGATGCACTCCCTGTTTTCCATAATTTCTCTTTTTTCCTACTCTTGGTGATGGTGGGGGGCGGCTTACAAGAGATTGAACCTAGGGCCTTTGCACTGAGCTACATCCCTACTTTTCTTTTTTTCTTTTTCTTCTTTTGGCAGGGTCTTGCTTAGATGTCTAAGTTGCTCAGGCTGAGCTCGAACTTGCAATCCTCCTGCTTTAATCTCCCACAGTGCTAGAATTACAGGTGTTTGTTTTAGATCATTTGTGTTGTATCCCTCTCTGGACCTAACTGCCAGGTGCAATTATTTAGCTTCTTCTCTGTCTGCCTTCCTAAGCTTTTTGAAAACAAACATTATATCCACACACTACCGTCCTCGTGTTTTCATTGTGCCCAAGAAAAATGTTATGCAGAGGAAGAGTCCCACCTACTCCTAATGGCAGAAATGGGACCAGGCCCTCAGGGGGAACAGCTAACCCAGTGAGCTCTATGGGGGCCTGATTAAGTGTTTCACAGGAGTTTGTGAGATGAGGAAATAAATGCTCATTAAAAACTGATGCGCTGGGCACACTGGCGCAAGCCTGTAATTTTCCAGCTACTCAGGAGGCTGAGGCAGGAGAACTACAAGTTCAAGGTCAGCCTGGGCAACTTGGCAAGACCTTGCTTCAGAATTTAAAAAAAAAATTTTTTAAAAAGGCACTGTAGCTTGGCGGTAGAGGACTTGCCTGGCATGTTCAAGACCCTGGGTTCAATCTTCAGTATCACCAAAATACACAAAATCAAACCCTGACAGGGTAGCCCTCCACCACTGCTGGTGGGAAAGTTGGTGGTAAGACCACTGGGAAAGAGAAATTGGCAATTTTGTAAAAAGTTAAAGGTTTGCTTTTCTTCAACTCAGGAATTTTGCTCCTAGGTACCCACGCCAGGGAAACAAAAATGTGGATTTTCACAAGGTCTTATACTCAAAGACTCATAGCAGCATTATCCCTAAGTGTCCACAGCTAGAATTTTACCTAAGTGTCCATCAAGGCAAAGGGGCAAAATGTTATGTGTGCAGCCACACGATGAAGTAAAGGAATACGTGTATCCTCAATCCCAATAATACTCCGCTAAAGAAGCCTAACACCAAAAAGTATCTACCGTATGTTTCCATTTATAATGAATTTCCCAGCAAAGGGAAAACCACGGAGGCAGGAAGCAGATTGTGATTCCTTGGGTCTGAGGGTGGGAGTGGAGACTGACAGTAAATGGGTCAGAGAGAACTTTTGCGGTGGTGAAGCGTGTCAAAACAGGATAGTGGTGATGGTGGTGCGGGTGCACATATCTATGAAAGCCCATGGAAACGTAGTCTTAAACACACGCGCTAAGGCTAGGTATGTAGCTCAGCGGGGCAACGTTTGCAGAGAATTCACACACACACACACACACACACACACACACACACTCAAGTATTAGAAGAGCTGGTAGGTCAAGAACCATGCTAGGATAACTGTAGCTTGATAATGGTCACAATTTGGAAGTGAGACTATTGTTCAACTTCTAGAATACCACTGACGACTCCATCACCGTGTAACCTTGCTGTGCCTCTGTTGCCTCATTTATTGCAATGATAGCAGTGATAGCAATGACGGCAAGAACAGCAACGATACACACTGATTTGCAGAGCTTACTCTATGCCACCCTTTGCCTTATCCGCTATCACAGTAGGCCAACAGCTTCATGAGGTGAGCTCCCACGGCTCCCATTTTACAGATGAGGAAACCGAGTCAGAGCAGAGACCAATTGTTGGCACAGGGCTCCCGCCAGGGTTGAATCTGGAATCCCATAGCTTCTCCAGCCAACTCCTTGATTCCTGCATGTGCCCTCTGGCCCAGTGTCCGTTCTGGAAGCCCAGCCTTCTGCAGGGCCCTAGCACTCACTGCAGTAAGAGCCCACGGCATGCAAGAGCCCACTGCCCTGTAGCTCTCCAGTGCTCCCTCTGCTGTGTGCAGCTGGGACCCATCTGCCCATTCTTTCGTTTGTTTTAATAATGTTCCTCTTAATGCCATCACCCTACTCTTAATCCCTGAGGATTTGGCCTGACCTGGCCAGGGTCAGCAGGGTGACAAGCTGTTAGTCCTTACTTCTGTGGGGAACATACCACGTTTGCTCTATGCCAAGAGCACGGATTAGCAGAGGCTGAGAAGCAAGGTCATAAGACATTATTGCTAGGAAGGATTTCAGAAACTTGGTTTCTACCTGTAACCGGTACATGTACCTAAGGGGTGGTAAATGAGGTCTCCACTTTCCCCTCTTCAACCAGAGCCACCCTCCCCCCACCTATGCTGTACTGCATAGGCTTGGACTACCGGCCTGCACCAGCATTTTAAAATAGCCAGCCCCATTTAAAACTCTGTTTTAAAAATCTGTAGTTATGCAGAAGATTTCCAAAGAAAGGAAACTTTTAAAGTTTGGAAGTTGCTGTTCTGTGCCAATTCCCACGTTTCCGGGTATAGAAACCAAGGTCTGGAGGATAGAGTAACTTGCCAAGGGTCACAGAGGTCGTGACTGGCAGGTGCTGGAGAGGTGGCAGTCTCCAGACTTGGGCCTGAAGCTCTTTCCACACCTCCACAGGAGCCTCCAGGGAGACAGAGCTTCTGCCTCCCACACTTTCATGTCATTTTTGAGGATTCCACAGCTACTGGCTAGAAAAAGTCTGGAAACAACAACTCCCCCAAGATTTCCCATCTTTCCACTCCCTTCACCCTTCTCTGAGGCAACTGTGATGTTTGGCTGCCTTGACACGTGAGGGCTGCTGCTTCCTGGGCTAGCTGTCCGAATTGGTTGGAGACAGTAGCAAACAGAGGAAAATTCTGATAATTGGACAGCAAGGGAGAGAAGGAACAATTTTCCTCGCTAAGGGGAGAAAAACACCTCTTGGTAACATTGTCTGCCCAAAAGTGAAATGAAATTACAAAAGAGAATAATATGCATTTTTTAAAGGGCACTTTTTATCTTGGAGATCAAACAGCAACTTCTCCGATTGTTACAGTAGCAGTATTAGGCTCCATTCCTCTCAGAATCATATTCCAGCTTTATATTCTGTTCGTCCTCTCAAAGATAATAGGAAAGTTCAACATGAGCCTTAATTTGCAAGGGGTAAAATCTCTTTCCCCCGTTAGAGTTTGTCAGTGTGATGCTAAAAATGGTGCTTTAGTTGACTGGTGGATAATTGATCCTCTGACGCTGACAACACTTAGGAAAATGAAGGTATAAATGACAGGGGTGTCGCATAGCCGCCGGAGTGAACGGCCAGCCTGAGGTCTGTGGAACTGGAGCGGCGTCTCAGCAGACGTAGACCTGCCACATCGGAGGTGAGAGTGGGTGGCTGAGGGCTGGGCCGGATGGGGGCAAGAAAAGCTGACGTGCTCACCAGCAAAGAGACGCCCGGGCCACCAGCAAAGAGACGCCCGGGCAAGGAGGCTCATCATGGTCCCCCTTTGCCCATGGGCTGGTGAGGACATCTGGGCTCCCTGCTGGAGAAAATAATCCCTTGCCAGGGACTCTGGAACATGCTTTCGATGGTTGGCACCACTTAGGGATTGTCTTGGATGCATGACACCTCGACTTTGGAAGAAGTGGCAGGTAAAGGTGTTGCAGGAGTCTGTGGGAAGTGAGGGAGATTTCAGTGCTCTTTCTAGGGTGTGGGGCAAGACAGGAGTAGGCTGGATTCTATCAGCCACGCTTACTCTGCCATGGATTGGAGAGCCAAGTGGCTGTGCAAATCAATACCTCGGATCGACTGCTCAGGCAGAACTGATTTAACATAATTGCCTGGAAGTTGATAATATTTTGACTTCTTGCTCGGTTGCAGCCACTCTGGTTCCAGATACAATCATCTGCCCTCGGATCCTTCCATTACCCCACACCTGTCCCTTCATCCTTGCCTGAGTGGTCCTAGAGTGTTTGTTTTTATTTTACCACAAGCTGACTCAAACACTTTCTGGAAGGAGGTGCAGGTTATCCTTTTGAAAGACAGTTCAAGATGCTTCCTCATTAAACATTTAGATTTGGGGCTGGGGATCTAGCACTTGCCTAGCATGCATGAGGCCCTGGGTTCCATCTCCAGAACCACAAAGTCAGACTTACTTTGACTTGGGACCCTACTGGTGAGATAGATTACACACTAAACCAGGACGTCAGTACTTTGAGGTTTGCCATTCCAAAGAGGAATATCTCAGAAAGGTAAAATTTTTTCCTCTTGTGGTTTTTGGGGTTTGTTTTTGTTTTTTGTGGGGTGTTTGGTTTGTTTTTTTTGCGGGGGGAGTACAGGGGATTGAACTCCGGACCTTGGACTTGGGAAGCAGGTGGACACAGCACTTAGCTAACTCCCTAGCTCCTCCCCGCTTAGGTTTTCAAAAGTGGCCTTACTAATTGAGTACTTGAGACATCACCTTTGTCATTAGCTAACAGTGTGTATCTGCAGAATTTTCACAGCATTCATGGCAAGAAAACTGGCAGAAGGCTCCAGCTGAGGAGGAGCAAGTGGCCCTTTATCCTGAGACCTCAAATCTATCTAATCACAGAATCAGACATGTGGGAAGCTGACTGGTACTTCCCATGATAGATTTCAAACTGCAAAAGCTCTCAAAGTCACCCTGGGGCTGTCAGTGAGGCTGACAGGATTGGGTTAGACTTCACCTAGTGAGTTTTACCTCCTTAGATCATCTTATAGGGTATGTCTGTTGACAAATCTTTTGTCCTTGGCCACGCGCGCCCTGTTCTTACCTTACCATAGGCTGGGTAATTCTTCTTGTTCTCCCCTTGGTCCAGTGGGATACGGCTTACCCAGTAGATCAGTTTTGCACTGCCCAGGGGTGCTGGAGAGTGCGGACCCAGCCCTGGGGCACAAATGTTGTGCCTCTTGCTTAACCAGATTATGGGGTTATCAGCCTCATTTTGAACGAATGAGGTGCTACTGTGCTTACTATGACTTGACCCCCCCACAAGGTCTGCCCTCTGCTGAGGTCATTTCAATTCTTCAAAAACTACTAGGTATGCAGAGGAAGGTGCTGATCCAAGCAGGTGTTCCTGTTTGTTCCCTTTTTTACTTCCTCAGAGGCCCGAGGACAAAGAGCAAAAGCTTTTTGATTTTTCAAAACCCTTTCCCACATGCAGGTGGTGAATTCCGAAGCGCCCATGAATAGGGAGTACTGTGAATGGGGTATTGTATCTGAGGCCCTGCCTCGGGAGCAAGATGAAGTCTGCCGGCCTGGCAGCTGGGGGCCTGTTCTGAAGTGCCCACTCAGAAGCTAATTTATGGAGGACCATGGAAAAGCCCTCCCTCGGCCTTTTTCTTCTGTTGTAAACGAGGATGGTGATGCATGCTCTGGGGGGTGAGTGTGAGGGTGCTGTGCGAGATAGGAGGGCACCGGAGCTGGGATTCAGTTGCACCACCCTAGGGAGATGAAAAGGAGGAGAGAAGGCCAAGGGAGAGCTCAGGCCAGGAGAAGAGTCTGGGCTTCACTCTAGAGGAGGTGGAGCAGAGTGAGGTGATCAGGGCAAAAGCAGCAAAGAAGGCAAGAGAACCAGGCCGAGCCAGGAATGGTGGTGCGCACCTGTAATGCCAGCGCTTGGAGGCTGAAGCAGAAGGATCACCATGAGATAGAGGTGGGCCTGGGCTACATAGACTCTTTCAAAACAGGGGGATGGCATAGCAGTGTAGCTCAGAGAAAAATCCTTGAGCTTGTTCAATCCCAGAGGGAGAGAGAGAGGCGGGGTTGGGGTGGGAGGGAGAACCAGGCTGCCTCTGGAAGGTAGGCAGGGAAGTGTTTTTTGTCAAGAGGCATCTCCGTGGCTAGAAAATTGCACTTCTGGGGAGGCCTCCTGAAACCAGTTTAAAGAAGGGACAGCCACATGTCATATGGTATGAGGAGGACAGAAGATTACAGATCCTCGGCCTGAGCAGGAAAGGCCAAAGTGAGGTGCAAAACATCTCACTGGACATGTGGCATGTGGGTGCAGGTATAGAAGCCCTGGGTGGCACAGCAGGTAGAAATGAAAGAGGCAGCACTGGGCGCAGGTCCAGGGGTCCTCTTTTCTCTGGCCACAGTCCTTACTGGAACAGTAGAGGCTTCACGGATACAGTCACGCATCACTCAGACAGGGGTGTATTGTGAGAAGTGCATCTTGAGGCCATTTCATCATTGTGCAAATATCATAGTGTGTGCAAGCGCGCACTAAGAAGGCTGCAATGTCTCTGAGCTACCTAAACTTGGTGAATCACTGTAGTATATGTGGCCCGTGATTGACCAAAACACTGTTATTTGGCATATGACTATATTTGTAGGATAAGGGGAACTGTACTTGACACAATGGGGAAATAACTCCAGCAACGGCCTAGAAGGCTGGGGATGCAGCTCAGTGGTAGGTCACTTGCCAGCATGTACTCAGCCCTGGGTTCAATCCCCACCACCTCAAAACATAAACAAAAACAAAAAATCCCTACCTAGAAATAGGACAGAATGGCTTGGAGGTAGTGAACTTCCTGTCACTCAATGGCAGCAAATGCTCTCCTAGCAGGAACTGGCCAACTGAGGGTGGTGGTGAACATCAAGGAAGGGCTGACCACGGATCCCTGGACAGCTCTAGAGGTACGAGGATCTCCCTGTGGGTACTTCCTGGGGTCCCAAGACAGCCCTAGGTTGCTGGAGACCATGGAGTCTGTGGAAAGGGGGATGACATGCTGAGAGGACAGTGCATCCAGAGGAGCAAGATGGACTCCTCCCGTGCTGACCCTGCCCACGGAGATCACGTCTCAGCAGGACTGAGGAGGAAATGGAGCCAGAGGAGCTGACCACTGGAGAGGAGGGGGTGATGCAACCCCACGGAGCAGATACCCTGCCAAGAGAGAGGATGCCCTGGAGATGAGAAGACAGAAGATGCAGTTCCCCCTCCCAGGCCAGCGTCCATCCAGGCTGGTCCGCACTCATGGTCAGGCACCTCCCAAGCCACAGTGGCTCTTGCCCTGCTGCCTTTTCTTTCTCTAATCTCTGAGTGTGGTGTCAACAGGCCCCAATTAAGAGTAATTAACTAGGGCTGGGGATTTAGCTCAGCGGTTCAGTGGCCTGCCTTGCAAGCGCAAGGACCCGAGTTCAATCCCCGGTACCAAACAAACAAAAAAAAAGAGTAGTTAACTGATCTATGAGAAAATTCTGGTTCACCGGCTCCTCAGGCTCTTTGCTCTCTTTCTTTCAGGGCTAAAACTTCTCAGTGAAATCTGAACATCCAGAACAAGACTTAGAATCTTTCTCCCTTCTCTCTAGATCTATCCAAAATGAAACAGGATGAGGCCATTCTCCAAGAGGGTCAATAACAGGTGACCGCAGGAAAGGTTTCTAGAGTTCCCTGTGTGCCAAGATACTCACCAAGGTGCCTCACTCACCTGATCCTGGTGACCTGATGCAAAGAGATGGTTACTTACACCACTTTATGGTTGAAGAAACTGAGACCCAGAGAGTTGAAGCCATCAATCTTGGACGCATAGTTAGTGATAGCAGGGCCAGGAATTCAAGTTAAACTTATCTGACTGAGAGCTGAGATTTTACTCCTGCCCTCTGCGGTCAGTGCCACACTGCATGGGGTGACTCAGGGGCCCTAAGGGAAGGTGCTTTTTCCACCCCCATCCTGTGCTGAGGCCGAGTTCTACCTCTTGCGCTCTTCTATCAAAGGGCAGTTTCACTATCACTGGCTTTTCTGTTTGACTCGGTGAAGTAGCCAGGGCAGCCTTATCGTGCCCATTTTACAGATGAAGATGTCAGAGCTAGTGGCTGGCAGAGGGAGAAACTTGAATCCAGGTCTCTCTGACTTCCAGAGTATGTGTTCTCTTTCTTACTCCACGGTTTCCAAAAGACAAAGTCCAATGCTTGCCATGGAGCTGAGTCCAGGTCTGAGCCTGGCTGACAAAAGGCTTCCTCGTGGCTGTGTCAGGCCTGACTGTCCCCTTCTGTCCTCTGCAGGTGCCACCCCAGGAGTGAAGGATGCCATTCTGGGTGTTCTTCTTCTTCATGATCCTCACCCTCAGCAGCAGCTCCCACTGCTCCCCATCCCTCTCCCTACCCCTCAGGTAAGCAGGCCCTGGACCCCCACAACCCTAAGACACCCTGATGGAAGGGCAGAGATGCAGAGGGAGATAAAGAATTGAGCCCCCCACTGGCCCTCTGTTGTTTCTTCAGATAATGCCCACTGCCCATCTTGGGGACAGGGCCAGTCACTGAGCTCCAGAGAGGTTGTTCGGCAAGCTCTGAGCTCTCTGGGGGGTGAACGGGGCACAGGGCAGCAGAGGAACCTTGTGGAGGCGTGGTGAGTGCAGCCCCCACTGTCCTCTCACCTGCCCTCCCCAACTCCTTGGCACAGGATGCGACGGTACGCAGATGCCATCTTCACCAACAGCTACCGGAAGGTGCTGGGCCAGCTGTCTGCCCGCAAGCTGCTCCAGGACATCATGAGCCGGCAGCAGGGGTGAGCAGAAGCATCCGGGATTTCTTCCCACCCACTGTGCATCATCAGAGTGTGCATCCTGAGGCAGGAGGCCGGGACCAAGCGCGGTCTCTTCCCACATGCACTGTCAGTCATTTCTGAGCTCTGCACAGCAGAAGGGCGCCGGTGTCAAACCCCAGCTCACTCCCACACTACTGTGTACTTCTCTCCAGGTCAGGCCCCAACAGTAACAGTGCCGATGGTCATCACCACCTCATGGTGACCCTGTGACAGAAACAGACTGTGCTCAGGGATGTGTGCACACATTCAGCACTGCGCTGGGCACGTAGGGAACCTTTTGTGCAGGAGCCACTATTCTTAGTTTCTTCTCTGGTTTTTGTAACGATCCACAAAGTAGGAATTGGCTACTCCTAAGAGTGGCAGAGCTAGGATCCAAACAGCCCGACTCCATCGCTTGTATATTCTTTTAGTTTGTATTCAGAAAAACATTTCAGAGTGCTAGGCATGTTGTAAACCCAGGGTCTTCACACCGGACGTATAGTCCCAGTCTTCTTACAATTTGTCTTGGTTTGAGTTAGGATCTCACTAAGTTGCCCAGGCCGGGCTCAAATTTGCAATCCTCCCAGAGTGCTGGGATTATAAGCATGCACCACCATGCCCAGTTTATTACTACTTTTCTTTATTAGCTCATGTTTTCAGGATATAACGCTTACGTGTTTTGTGGGGAGTTAGTACATGTACCTAGCATTTCTAAATTCCTTTTATCCATCCCCTTTCCCTTTACTCCCTCCCACCATCCCTTGACTCCTTTCCCATTTGAGGAGATCTATCTCCTTACTTCCTGTTTTCTTTTATTTTGCTCCTTATTTATAATTTGGGAAACACTTGAGTATAAAATTGCACCATGACTCCGGGGGGAACTCCTGCGCGTGTCTCCTAGTGCCTAACAAAGGTCACTCCTTTACATAGCCACAGTGTAATTATCATTCATAATCCACATTCAGTTTTCATCAGTTGTCCCCAAATCCAGTATAACATTTATTTCTTTTTCTAACCCAGAATCCCACCCAGAGTCATGGTTTCCATTGAGTTGGTTCTTTTTAGTTGTTTTCCTCTAGAATAGCGCTTCAGTCTTCCATGGGATTGGCTTTTCTAACTGGTAAATGCCGGTGTTTTATAGAAGTGAAGTTCACAGTGAAGTTCCTCATATTAGATCCAGATTACACGATCCCAGATGTGATGATGTGTCCTCGGTGCACGATGTCAGGAGGCAGCGGGTGTCAATTCGTCCCATTATTGGTGGAATCTCGATGGATGATGAATTTGACTGCTTGATTACCCTGGTGTCTGCCAGATGAATTAGTAATCTGTGAGGAGAGTTTTGCAACTGTGTACACTTGTATTCCGTTCTCTTTTCTGCTATATATTCTGTACCTCTAAGTATTGCTGAATCTAATTCAGTCTGGTGGAAGAACCTATCAAATGCTGGAATAGGCGTAGAGAAGTACCCCTGCCCACCCACATCCCACCCATAGAAACTTAAACTGTTTCTCGTTCCAACCATACAGAAAGAGGAATCAGGAGCAAGAAGCAAGGATACGGCTTGGCCGTCAGCTAGACAGCGTGTGGACAGACCAAAAGCAGGTAGCATTGGAGAGCATGCTGGTGGCCCTGATGCAGAAGCACAGGTAGGGATGTGTGTGTGTGTGTGTGTGTGTGTTCACAGGTAGGGATGTGTGTGTGTGTGTGTGTGTGTGTGTGTGTGTGTGTGTGTGTGTGTAGGGACCTCAGAGACTCCCTTTCTCACAGGTTGCCTGGTAAAGGAAAGACTCTCCTCCTCTCCAAAGGTGTGGGGCTCTACCAAATAACCCAAGAAGAAGGTGCCTCCTTCCATTTCTTCCACACAAGAGCTAAAGGAAAGGGAGAAAATGTGCCCTGGAGAGTGCATGATATGCTCTGGTGTATGTCCAGTGAGGAGTCACAAGCTTGGGACAGGAAAGACTGCTCACTGAGTAGTTATGGGACAGGTCCTAGAAACCTGAATTTCAACAAGTGTCCCAAAGGACACTGATGTGGGTGATCTGTGAAGTATGCCCTGGATCTTCTGGAAAAGTTAACAAAGCCATACAGCCAAAGACAACCCAGCCTTCCCATCCTCTGTGACAGACCAGGGTGTTCAGGCACACTGTCACCAGTCGCAGCTGGTCATGACAGTAATGTCCCATCTCCATAGCCCTCACATTTCCGCTGGGAGTCAGGGAGGATTAGGAATGAGTTTTCCTCTTTTATGGAAGAGAGCAAGGAAAGGGCTACAGTTGGACCCAAGTAGGGACTGGGAGCCCAAGACCTATTTTTTCCCCCGGAGCATCTTCATGCAACATTCCACTTCTGAGCCAAAGTTTCCCAAGGATGGCACAAGAATTGTAGTTACTGGAGAAAATGATATAGATTAGAGCTTCTGTGTGTGTGTGTGTATGTGTGTGTGGTGTCAGGGTCAAACCCAGGCTCTTACACATGGGAAGCCTAGTGTTCTACCCTGATCTGTATCCCCAGCCCTGGAGGCTGATTTTCCTTTGAGCACAAGCATGTTCCAGCAGGTCTGTGCTGGGCACTTCTGCCCCAACCTATTAAGCAAATCTGGTTCCCAACAGAGCTCTCCATGTTCTCCCTCACCTTCTTCCAAACATATCAAACACTGGGAGCCCAGACATCTCACCAGCAACAACCGATGGTGGTCCAAGCAGCAGCAGAGGCCACAGGGGGCAACCATGGAGGGGGTGACAGCCAGATGGAAAGCAGGATGCAGGCCTGGCCCCGGTTCTGCCACCAACTCTTCCCACAGCAATAGGAGGCTTCCTCATATCCTCCTCTACAAGAAGAACAGGAGCAGATTATCTCTGACCACCTCTGAAGTCCCAAAGGCTAGAATTGTAAAGATGTTGCCTCTGAGCAGGATGCCCAGCTGCACCTCTCAGGCTGGGTGAGGCGATCGCTCACCTGCGATGGCTCCCACTGGGCAGCCCAGGCAGCAGCAGTCTGCGGAAGCCAACCCTAAGAAGGCGGATTTTATTCTGCAGGTTCAAAGCCAAAGACCTCAGAGAGCTCACGGCTGCACCAGCCGTGGTCCCCTCCAGCCCGAGCACTGCAAATTCAGGGTATCACTAGCAGGCTGAGGAATGAAATAAGAATGAGTTCTTAGACCTTTACAGTGCCGAGCAGAGCAGAGCAACAGACACATTTCGTACCCCTCAAAAGCTTGTGTCCTCCTCACAGTCTCGGAGGGCCATCCTCCCACCCTGTGAAAGCCTCCCAGTGACTAGGACATGCCAGGCTCTGGGCTGGGAATCAGCAGTGGGCAGGACAACGCTGGCCCCTGCTGCCATTGATGATGCAGTGAGGCAACTCGAACTCAACCAAGTTCCAGTACAGTCAATTATTCAACTGTGATCAACAGAAAGAGATGCAAGGGTGTGGTGAATGTTGGCTGGGAGAAGGCCTATCCTGTCTGGGAGGTGAGCAGTGCAGGGTCTCAGTCAGTAGGAGCTAAGACTTGGCTCCACTTTGCTGGCAGACATGGGCATCCAGCACCTCTTGAAACCCAGGCAGCCAGCTCCTGCCCCAGAGCACCTACCACCCTACTTCGAGGGGTCCCGCACTAACCTACCCTTCATGCAGTCTCTGGCTGAGCTTTCTCTTTCTTTCTGCAGGAGGAATTCCCGAGGATAAAGACTCCAGCCGAAGCTTGGGCCACTGGTACCCAAAACACAATTGGATCCAGTTAATCCTATTTCAGTTCTGACCTACTTTTTCCTTTGTATATTCAATAAAATTCCCCCAGCCGGTCTGCATTTCCCTTTTCTTTTATCATCAGCCTAATTGTTTATGTGTTTTACGTAGTTACAAACCAAGGAGGGAGGATGGAAATTGCCCAGTCACAGCTATCGAGTGAGAAAGTCAAATGTAGACCTGGGCACTCCAGCCCAGAACCAGGCTCTGAGCCACACACATTTACCTGGGCCAAATCATCCTTCATCCAAATGACCACTTGCTCATTTACGAGCAACACCATTTGTTCATTCAATAAATATTTGTAAAGTACCCACCATAGCACTGTTCCAGGCACTGGGAAGACAGCTGTGAGCAGTCTCTGAACTTATAGACCTTGTATTCTAAGTGGGGAGGTACAGACAATGTCAGATGAGGGCCAAGGGCCAAGGAGGCTCGGGTGTGGTGAGAGCACTGGAGGGTGTTACTGGGCTCTGACGCGTACATATGCTGGTCTCAGTAATTATGTGGTATCTGAGCAGACCCGAAGGAAGAGAGGGACTGGCTTTGGGAACATCCTGGTGAAGAACTTTCCAGACGAACCCAGCACAGAGGCCCCAAGGCAAGAGCATGGCAGGATCAGGTCAGCTTGGCCAGCTACAGCAGAGTGAAAGCAGGAGTGCGGGAGGACATGGGGCCCAACAGGAGCAGGAGCCAGCTCCTGGGGACCCTCTAAGGAGCTAAAATTGAGTTTTAAAGCAGGCTGCTTGCTTCTGAGTTACTTTTTTTCTTTTTCTTATACTGGGGATTGAACCCCCAGAGTAATGAATTACATCCCCAGCCTTTTTGTTTTGTTTTGAGACATGATCTCATTAAATTGCCAAAGCTAGCCTCAAATTTGTGACCCTCCTGCCTCAGCCTCCCAAGTAGCTAGAATTGCAAGTGTATGTTACTATACCTGGCCAGAGTTCTCCCCCACCCCAGAATTGAACCCAGGGCTTTGCAATGAGCTACATCCCCAGTTCAGACTTGTGATCCTCCTGCCTCAGCATCCCAGAGTACTGTGATTATAGCCATGTACCATTGCATCCAGCTCAGTTACATATACAGTTAAAAATGAGGATTCTCCCTTATCAGTCTAGCTTAGGTAAATTGGATGCTTTATGTTGGTTGCTGTGAATCTATTTTTTTGAAAACTGGCCCATTTTCAGGTCCAGTTTGATTATATAGCACCTGGAATGAGTGAATCCATTTTGGTTTGATGTGGCCTATTGAGGCCTAGTGCGGGAGTTCATTAAAAATAAGTCTACAAGCCAGGTATGGTTGTGCACACCTGTAATCCCAGCATTCAGGAGGCTGAGGCAGGCGGATCACTGTGACCTCAAGACCAGCCTGAGCTACACAGTGAGTTTCAGGTCAGTCTCAACTACATAGTGAGACCCTGCCTCAAAAAACCAAAATAAACAAATAAATAAATAATAAAATAAAATAAAAAAATAATAGTCTCCCATGCATTTTGTTTACTAGGGTCATTGTAAGGACTTGGATCTCACCCTGAGTGAAATGGAAGCCATCAGGCAGTTCACACAGAGTGAAATAATCTTTGCTGCATTAAAATCACTCTGAGAAAGGCTCAAATTTGGGCGTATTGTTTTTTGGGGGGCGGTATATTCTTAAGTAGAGGTCACTTGCTGATAGGGTATAGGACCTTGCGAGGAATCTGGAGTGACTCCAGTTTTGGACTGAGGAACTGGGAGGACAGAGTTGCCCTTTAGTAGCTTTGGGCGCGGAGGTAGACTTAGGAGTTTGGGCCTGGATATGTTGAGTGTGAGATGCTTGTTACACATTCAAGTGAGATGATGAGAAGGCAACAAGTAATGAAGCCTGGGTTCAGAGAGGTCTGGTTTGGGGTCAGTATTACGATTTAGATGGTCTTTAAAGTCAAAGGACGGAAGTACAAAAAGGGTAGAGGAAAGCCAAGGACTGACCCCTCTGCTGCTCCCCTTCAAGTTTGGAGGAAAGACAAGGAAGTAGAGAAAGAGCAGGTGGTGACATAACAGAAAAACAATCCAAGACAGAAATCCCAAAAACCAACTGAAGAAAGTGTTTCAGGAAGGGAGGGGGGTGGGATGTAGCTGAGTGGTAGGGTGCTTGCCTAGCATGTGCAAGACCCCGAGCTAGAGGAGGAGGAAAGGAGTAGAAGAAAGTTACTTCTTCTGCTCAAGGTCGCTGATGGGTCAAGTCAGTTGGGAACTAAGCATGGGTATGACAGTGGCAACATCGGTTACCTTGGTAAAAACAAATTGCGTAGAGTGGTGGAGCCCAAAGCCTGATTCAAGTGAGTTCAAGAGAAAATGTGGGAAGAGGAGAAGAACCGGAGAGTGTCCAATATGAGGGCCACAGGACATGTGGCTGTTGAACCCTTGAAATGGGCTACTACACCCTGAGATACGCTTTGATTCAAAGCCTTGGTATGCAAAGTAAATAGCTCAATGTTTCTATATTGATTACACTAACATAATTGCATATATTTAAATTAGTTTCACATCCCCCTAGCCCTGTACTAGAACTGGATCCAGTACCCTACATGCGTTCTACCACAGAGCTACATACTGCCTTTTAATGTTTTTATTGTAGTCATCAGAAAATGTACACCCACATGCTTGTATTATATTGCCATTAGGCAGAACTGGCAGAGATAGTTTCTTACAGAGGCTTTGCTATAAAGGGATACAACAAAGTGAAGCCACTAACCAGTGGTTCCCTAGGTCAATGCTTACCCAATTTTTTTCTCTTCACGAACCATTTTATCTGGACCAAAATTCCCAGACATCATCTACTTTCTGCATATTCTTTAGGGTCTCACTATGCAGCCCATGCTGGCCTCAAACTGAAGATGCTATTGCCCTAGCCTCTGAAGTGCTGGGCTTACAGGTGTGTGCTGCTGTGCTTCACGTGCTTTTTATCAGAACCTGTGAGCTTCTGGTGTGATGAAAATGTTCTATAGATTTTGATTTGGTTAGTGGTTATACCACTGCAGTCATATACAAAAATGTACTGAGCTGTACATAAGAGTCGTGCATTAAGACTTCTGGGAAGAGGGCCGGGGATTTAGTTCAGCGGTTCCGTGGCCTGCCTTGCAAGCGCAAGGACCCGAGTTCAATCCCCAGTACCAAAAAAAGACTTCTGGGAAGATGGCGGAGTGGTGAACAGCAGAGAAAGAGCCTCTCTGAAATTCAGTGTTCTGACACTGGAATAAGAGGAGAAGAAGGAGGGAAGTCAGTTCCCGAGATCCAGGAAAGATCTGAAGCAAGAACTGAAATCCACAGGGAGAGCGAAGAGAGAGACTTCAGTGAAGAGGAGGGAGGCAGCAAGCAGCACTTTCTCCCAGAGTCAGAATCATGGTACAGGAATGGAAGGTCGAACCTGCAGACCACGGTGACTACTGACGACCCCAGAGGCCTCCACTGAGAAATGCACCAGTGGACCAGAGCAGTGGATAGAGCAAACTACAGTGGCTGGTGAGCTATCCAGACTCAAATGGCACCCAGGAGAGGGCAATTGGCCGGGAGCCATCCTGGAGAGGGACCAACTGAGCTCAGAACTCAGAATAGCTATGGGCAGATTCCATCCAGTGGCTCCTGGGGTCTTGGTGAGGGTGCTGAGTTCAAGATATCAGGAGAAACACTTTGAACTCAAAAACAAATTCATATACTGAAAGTCAAAGGATGGAAAATAATACTGCACGTGACAGAAACCCAGAAAAAAGCAGGGGTAGCTATTCTACTTGTACACAAAGTGAATTTCAAGCCAAGACTGATTAAGAGAGACAAAGAAGGTCACTACATCCTTGTAAAAGGAACAATCCAAGAAGAAGAGATAACAATCATTAATACATATACACCAAATAGCAGTGCACCCACCAATATAAAAAAATTAACAGACATGAAAAAACAAATAAGAACTAATGCATTTGTAATGGGGACCTCAATACCCCACTGTCACACATAGACAGATCAATTAGACCAAAAATCAACAATGAAATATTAAAACTGAACCAAACTTCTGAGCAAATGGATTTAATAGATGTCTATCAAGTGCTTCACCCCACACCACCAGAATACACATTCTTCTCAGCTGCACATGGGATGTTCTCCAATATAGACCACATTCTAATCCATACAACATGCTTAATTAAGTAAATGCAAAGGAATTGAAACTATCCCATGCATATTATCAGACCATAGTGCAATAAAATTGGAAATCCATGGCAAAAGAAACTACAAGAACTTCATAAACACATGGAAATTAAATGACAACCTCTTGAATGGTCACAGATGAAATTAAAGAAATCAGACAGTTTCTACAATTAAAAAATACTGCCAGCACAACATACCAGAACTTATGGGGCTCAGTGAAAGCAGTCCTATGAGAGAGATTTATAGCAAGGTGAATAATCATATCAGGAAAACAGAATAGACTCAAATAAACAACCTAATGTTGAACCTCAAGCTTCTAGAAAAAGAAGAGCAAAGGAAATGATAAAAATCAGAGCAGAAATCAATGCAATGGAGACTAAAAAAAA